GCTGCAAAGAAACCGTTGATCTTTGGTGTTGCAAGTTGGAGATCCACTAGCAATTTTCCAGCAGCTGCACTAAATGCGGTAGCTTGTGATGCAGTGTTATTGCCACAAAGCCCTACATTACCAGGAAGGGTAGTCTGGTCAAAGAACCCAGCGCTCTCGTACCTAAACCAACCAGACAACAGTTAACAACAATGTGACTAACTTTAGCAACATGCTATGTTTGGTCGACACATGGATTATCGTTTGAAAAAGAAAGAAAAAAGTAACTAACTTTGGCAGTACGTTTGGTCGACACAGCACACTGGTTTCTATTGTTAGCGTTTTCTATGTGTCTAATCTATGGGTTGCCGTATCTTAATTTGTTGGTCAATCTTCATCGACAGTAATCATCGACGGCAAATTTGACTAAGCTATCGAAATTATTTCTTCAGTAATATTATTTACATTTTTTAAAGGATCATTAATTCATAACCTTAGGCCTCGTTTGTTAGGTAAGATTAGACTAGCCTTGACTAAACTAGCAAAATGGCTACATTTCATATGCAATTAAGGCATAACATGGATATTGTTGTCTTGAAGAATGGAGGACTATTCATAAAAAGTTGATGACTAAAAATTATCCCTCATAAATTATTTTCCGAATTCTCTTACATATAGTTTCCATGATAATCTTATAATTTCATAAGACCCACATCACGTGAGAATTAATGTTAGAACATGTCTCTATTATTTTTGTTAACGAATTTGAAGTCAATTATCAAATTTTGTAGCTACGACTTAGTGTGATTCAATGAAGTTATGGTCAACGATCACCATACCTGTTTACTGATTAGGCCAATCCCAACAATATCTAGGCTGCCACGACAACATAAAAAATGTGGCTGGCAGCAACTTGAAAAGAAGCTAGGCTGCCACGACAACATAAAAAATGTGGCTGGCAGCAACTTGAAAAGAAGCTAGGCTGCCACGACAACGACCCTAGGAAGCAATATGTTCTAATTCTAAGTATATTTTGACTTCTTCTAATTCTATACTTTCTGAATTATGACACCGACTGCCAATTAGGGTGATGAGCCCATAGGTATTTAGTTAAATATTCTAGAAAGGGTTAGGCATTATTATGTGGAGCAGTTGGAAACTTTGGAAAATAATAAGAGCACGAATGTCAAAACATGAAATAACAAATAAAACTTATCAAAGAAAATTTCCAACATCTTCTGCAGTCTGCAGATGTAAACATTTTCCTTGAGGAATAAAATCTGTCACTGTCGATCGTTTTGGAAAACAAAAAAAAACCCATAAAAGATAAACAAAATTCTAGTCCCATTCCCCGTATTAAAGAGAGAAAGAAAAGTTTTTTTTTTTTGAATTTTTATAATTTTTTTCTTTACTGAACAAATCTTGTAATAATTCTGTTATTCAAATTTAGAACTTTGAACATTAATTATTTACTTTAATCAAACGTACGTAAATGGGAACCTGAATCTGAAACAGCTTCAATTATTAGAATGAGAAATAGTAAGAACTGATAGATATTAATGCATTTGTGTTTTGTTTCCAGCAAGTAGGTGTATCTAGTTGTCATTTAGTTTAGAAAACAAAAAAATATACAAAACTAAATCATGGAAGGGTAGTAGAGCAACAGCAGGGACCAGGGTGTACCTGAGGAAGCAACCGTCGTAGATGACACGGGCACCGTTGGCAGCGGAGCAGTTGCGAATTTGTGACACCGCGGCGGCGAAGCAAGCAGCGCAGTCAGCTGCGGAGAGGTAGTTCCTGCACTGCACCATGGCGTAGACAGGATCCGAACCCCTGGCCTGCTGTGCCGTGGCAAAGTGGGTGCTGTTTTTGTTGAGCTGTGTTCTGAGGTCTGAGAAAGTGGCGTTGAGATTGGTATAGAAGTCAGGCAAGTTTGTGGCATTGTATTGGCTGCAGCCCTTGTTTAGTAGATTGATCTGTGGGCTTGCATCAACGCCTCTGATGAGACAACTCCACCACCATATTGATGTAATTGTTATTGGCAATACCATACCCAGATATTCTTGCTTCATCTTCAGTGCCTGCGTAGCTTAACCTACCATTAAAGACAAGGTAGTTGCTTAATTAACAAACATACACATTATATATGAAGACCCGGAGGTGAGCTTATATATTATATGTTGCGGCCAATGGAGGCAAGACATGTTAAAAGACAACATCATCCATGACGCAATGCATTATATTTACATAGTCTCGCCTCCATATATATATAGTGCCTTTTTTGTTACAACATTTATTTTACTACATATGCTGCTGACACCTCTCTAATACAACAAGTGCAAGGGCGGAATCAGGAATTTTTCAACCGGTGGAATAGCTAAAGTTATTAGCTTAAAATCTAATAATAACTTCTTTTTTTTGTACTTATAGTTTCTATAGTTTTTTCTATAAATAAAAGTATACATTAAATCTTATAAACCACGCTAGTTGTAAAGTACACAAGAAAAAATCGAATTAGAGCCATATTATTATTCACAAAATGGTGAATTTCATTTAGAAAAATACTTCTCTTTTGGAGATAAATTAATGAAAAAATATTAAAATTAATGTTGGGACAATTTTTGACACCAAATACAAATGTGGAAGACCTCTGACTATGTCTATTGGTATATTGGTAAGGTATGAAATTGTATATTTTTTAAATTTATTTTTAGGTTAAGATACTATAGGCTATATAGGTGTAATTTTTTTTTCTCCCAAAACCTTCCCTGGGCTACAACCCATGCAAGCCCACATAGTGGTTCCGCCAATGAACAAGTGGGTTCCACATGCATTAGAGGAGTCCAGTCTATTAGAGGAGAATGACTTTCATGCAACACTGTGTTATACCTGGCCAATGGCACAATGACACGGCAGTGGCGGATCCAAGATTTGATAAACCGGTTGGGTGAAACTTACACAATACACTCAACGATACGAGTGAACAAAGTCGATCAGAGTTTTCTAAGGCCCAAGGCCAAATTCTAAATTGTGGCCCCCTCTGTACATACACTCAACACTAAATATGTAAATTTTTTAAAAGAAAAGGAAGACTACCTTTGGGATTAAAAAATCGAATTAGAGCCATATTATTATTCACAAAATGGTGAATTTCATTTAGAAAAATACTTCTCTTTTGGAGATAAATTAATGAAAAAATATTAAAATTAATGTTGGGACAATTTTTGACACCAAATACAAATGTGGAAGACCTCTGACTATGTCTATTGGTATATTGGTAAGGTATGAAATTGTATATTTTTTAAATTTATTTTTAGGTTAAGATACTATAGGCTATATAGGTGTAATTTTTTTTTCTCCCAAAACCTTCCCTGGGCTACAACCCATGCAAGCCCACATAGTGGTTCCGCCAATGAACAAGTGGGTTCCACATGCATTAGAGGAGTCCAGTCTATTAGAGGAGAATGACTTTCATGCAACACTGTGTTATACCTGGCCAATGGCACAATGACACGGCAGTGGCGGATCCAAGATTTGATAAACCGGTTGGGTGAAACTTACACAATACACTCAACGATACGAGTGAACAAAGTCGATCAGAGTTTTCTAAGGCCCAAGGCCCAAGGCCAAATTCTAAATTGTGGCCCCTCTGTACATACACTCAACACTAAATATGTAAATTTTTTAAAAGAAAAGGAAGACTACCTTTGGGATTAAAAAGTTTCATACACTCATTTGATAGCGAGTAAACCATTCTTACAAATTAAAAAAACATTCCTTTTGGGCTTAAAAGAACATATCAGATAATTTCTCCAACATTGAGGAACCTAATTCACAATTCAAAGCTTTTATTTCACAAGCCCCAATTCAATTCAAAAATCCTAATTCAACAAGCCATAAATTCAATTTATCATAACAAACCCAAATTCTACAAGAGAGACGCATCAAAGAAAAAAGAGAGAATGAGGAAGCAGATGACTGGAAAAAAAAAAAAAAAAAAGGAACGAGAGAAAAGTGACGGGGAGAAAGAGAAAAAAGAGAAAATGTTCATTGTTTAAAGGAAAGTTTCAGTCTACAAGAAAAGCATGATGGGAAAAGTTTCAGTGAGACAAGTGAAGCGTACTTTGTAGTACAATGAAGATAGAGATAGGGTTTATTTATTTATTTTGGCTGGGCAAATAGAGATAGGATTTCAACATTTTTTTCTGGGCTGGGATAAACATATCTAACTATTTGTCTATTTTGAAAATTTTGGGCTGGGCAGCAGCCCACCTTGCCTTGTGGGTAGACCCGCCCTGGACATGTGAGATAACTTTTCAACATGTCATTGTGTTATTGGCTGGGGATAACAAAATAGTGTTATCCCCAATACAAGTAAGTTTTTCTGCTATTAAAGGTGATCAACAATCTGATCAATAAGTGTAGTACAAATAGTATTGTATATTACATATATAAAAACTTACATATACCCCTTCCATTTTTAGTAAAATTCGCAACGGAAGGCTGATTTTCGAATGGATCATATCAAAATCAAGGGATTCCAATTCCAATCCAAAAAAAATAAGGAATGAACATTCTTTTCCAATTCCGTTCCAAAAAATTTCGGAATTTCAACATCCAATCCAATTTGGAAAACTCGGAATTTTCGAAAATTTTGGAAAATTTTGGAACTTATATATTCGGAAATTTTGAACATATCCAATGATTTGAAAGGTTAAAAACGTCTCAAAATTAAAAAATCATACAAACAACTCAAAACTATTATATGGTATTACTTAAATGTTATTTATTTAATTAATAACTCATCTATGTCTATTTTTTGGTCATCAAGTCATGTTTAGTTCAACATGAAATTAGTCATTATGTGTAGTCTAAGCTTGAAACCTCAATATATTTCGGAATCTTGAGATACATTCCAATTCCAATCAATTTTTTTTTTCTTTGAAATTTTCGGATTTTGGAACTTTCGGATGTCAAAATTGATTTAGACTTGCCAAAATCGGAAATTTCTTGCAACAAAGACGACCGCATAATAGAGCTATCGAGTTCAATGCAATCTTCCTCTTTCATTATAGTAGGCTTTCCCGAGCTATTCCTAGTTTCTCCTTGACCAAAACATTCTTCACCTCACCTATCCATGCTGAAAAATTGTTTCTTCTATCAAATTCAAACATGTCAATCTCACTAAACTTGAGTGATCTTGCAACCATCTCTAATGAAATTTCCCCTTAATTCTCTGATTTATAAGAACAAACCAGCTGTGATGCCAATTAATAGGAATATCGGAACAATTCTTGGCCCAAAAGCACCTGAAGACCAAGAGAAAAAGATGAAGAAGAACAATAGTCAAGCAGCACACAAATTTGTTTACGGGGTTCATCCCTAACTAATGGACTTGGTTCGAAATCCTTTGTAGCATTGAAGTAGGAGTTTGTGTCACATGTCGGATGTCAAGTACATCATCAATCTTATTAGACTCTGGCATGAAGCTCTCAGATTTCGATACAAGTTCTGCAAGATCATGCACAAGATCGTGCATCCTGCATCTTGTAATATTACCGTAGTAATCCTTTGTTGCATCTTGAAATAAGGAGTTCTCCAATAAAATCTTAAAATAGTCATTACCTATATCCTCCATTTCTAAATTACTCTGATTGGGAGAAGGGTGGAGCCATCCTCGAGCCATCCAAAGTTGAATTAAGTTATCCCTTTCAATTTCAGAGCCTTTTCTGAACATTGAGCAATATGCAAAACACTGTTTCAATGATGGTGATTTCAAATTGTCAAAACTCAACTTCAAAACGGTCATGATTCTTTCCTCTTCTTCTGGTAAATCCCATTTTCTACTTTTTTGAATTGACAGCCATTCATCTCTACTATTTCTGTAGCGCATCATGCTTCCCAAAAACTGTTGGTACATGAGTTAGAATTTCTATTAAATGACTAGTCAGGATAAAATAATATAACAACAGTAAGCAATAATTGATCAAATCATGGATTGGCAAATAAGACTCAACTTTTGATATATAATAATGCGTACCGTTGCCACTAGTGGTACGCCTGCACAACTTTCCGCGATTTTCCTTCCGATTCTCTCCAGATCCGGA